GAGCGGGGTCGCAATTGACGGCAGGCGGAATGCGGCGTGGATTTTTTCTCGTGTGCATGTGTGTGTGCGTGTGAGCTTGTGTTTGTGTGTCCGCGTGTGGAGTGAGTGAGTGCTGTATGCGTGTGTCTACGTAAATCAAGGGGGGCAATCATTTGGTGGAGATTTCAAATGGCAGGTGTGCAGTGCATTCATTCAATGGGGAGGGCAACAAAGCAACAAACAGTGAGGCGGCAAAACCGACGCGCAGGGCCCAAAAACAACAACAGGGAACCAAGGGGCACGACACGCACGCGCGTCCTCCTCTTCCCCGCCGCCGCAGGCCGCCGGGCGCAACCGGCGATGGCAGCGCCAGCTGCGTGGGCGTCAGCGAGGAGGAGGACGTGCTGGCCGTCTACAACCCCGCAAAGTGAGAGGGCAGAGCGTCGAGCAATCGGGCCCGTGCCGGCCTGCGCGCACCGCCGCGCCCGCAGCCCGTCGTCTGCCGGCTGCAAGAGCGCCTGGGGAGCGCTCTCTTCCTCGATTTTTCCTTTTCTACTCTTATCTCTGTTCCAACTATAACAGTGATTCGCAGCCGTCCGGCTGCAGCCGGGCGAACGCGGCGCGGCTTCGTGGCGGGCGGTGCGACGGTCCCTTGCCTTGCCCTCCACCACATACTCCCAAGCCGGCCCGGTTTGTTGCGCCGCCACGTTCCCCTTGCACCTGGCGCCCAATCTGATCTGATCTGAACTCCCGCCTTGCAGGGACGAGCGCAAGGAGTTCCGGGTCAACCGCGTGTTTGACCCGGCCGCCAGCCAGGACGCGGTCTACGAGGACACGCAGCCCCTAGTGCGCTCTGTGCTGGACGGTGAGTGCCTCCATGTGGATAAATAAGTTTGTGATCCACAAAATTCGCATCACCCGGCCCGCATCCTCTAGTCAGATCGCGCGAAACTCGTGAACCCACCCGCTGGCTGGTCAAGGCGCCTGGGGTGGGCCCCGCCCTGGGCGTCTGACGTGCAGCGTCCGCGCCGCGCGGCCGCGGCCGCCGGGCTGTGTGCTGATGTGCGGCGACACGCGCCAGGCGCACCTGCTGCCTCTGAACCTCCGGTGGTTTAAGCTAGAGCTCTCAGGGCCGCATCTGATTCACGCCGTACCGTACTGGATTATGTGATCAGCTCTCCAGGAGGAGCCCCTTTCCTCATCCAATCTGTCCGCCTCCCCGCCGCGCAGGCTACAACGTGTGCATCTTTGCCTACGGCCAGACCGGCAGCGGCAAGACCCACACCATGAGCGGCAGCGACGCGCGCAGCCCCGAGGGCCGCGGCATAAACTACCGGGCGCTGGACGACCTCTTCGCCATCCGCGACGCGCGCGCGGGGGAGGTGGGCCCCGCCCCCCAGCGCGCGGCGCAGCCGGGCGTGCCCTCGACCGCTCGTCGTCGTCGTGTTCGTGATGCATTTGCTTGGCTGTCACTTATCTTGAATGCTGTCTATAAGTTGTGGCCTGGGTGCATGTCCACGCAACATGTCGGCCCCTGTGGAACGGCGGCCCCTCGCCTCTGTGGGGGTGCTTTTCGGCGCATCCTTTCCTCCAGACAACCACTCGCCGCGAATCCAAACGCATGCTCAACTGCAGCAATTGGGCCTCGAAGCTGTTCTAGGCTGAAACCAATCCGACCCCTGCCATACATGACATGCATACGCGATGACATCACCGCACAGGTGGACTACCAGATCACGGTCCAGATGCTTGAAATTTACAACGAGACGCTCAGAGATCTGTTCATCGACCCGCGCGGCGGCGGCGGGGGCGCGGCAAACCGGCTCGACATCCTGAGCACGCAGGCCAGCGGCTGCAACGTGCCGGGCGCGGTGCAGGTGCGAACGAGTGTGCGCATGTGTGTGCGTGTGGATCGGCGTGTGTGTGCTCGCGCGCACACGAACATATAACATGATTATAGGTACATCAGGAGTGGGTAGAAGGCAGGGGGGAAGAGTACGGGCGCGAGCGTGCGACGGAGGTAGAAAGCGCGTGTGCGTGCTGCAGCCCCGCCCAGCACATCGCTGCCGCCTGCCTTTCACACCTAGCTGGGTCGAAGGGCCAAGAGCGCACTCGCACAGGCCTGCAATTGAAAGGTTGTTCAACGCAGCTGCTGATGACTGCCCCCGCCCGGCTCAGCCTCGCCCCGCCGCCCCTCCCTCGCGCTCGGCGCCGCCGTGCCGTCCCCGCAGGTCGGGGTGAGCACCTCCCAGGACGTGCTGGCGCTGATGGCGCGCGGCGCCGCCAACCGCGCGACCAGCGAGACGAAGATGAACGACAGGAGCAGCCGCAGGTGGGGTTGCCGGCAGCTGCAGCGGGCGGCGCCGGCCGCGGATTTCGCGGGCCGGCTGCGTCACTGTTGGGTCAGAGCGCCGTCTGGGAGCGCCTGCTGCTCCTTGCAAGTTCCCAGTCACGGGGTGCCCAAGAGGGCACGCCGTAGACAGCCAACACGTGTTGTTGCAGGCCTTCTCCATGACCCTGGGTCCCACTTACCATCCAGATTGCTCCCAAATCTGCGGCTCACCAGCGCCTGAACCCGCCCTGGACCGGCTTTTTGGATATCAAATCTGCCCCCGACAGCCACCAGATCCTGACCGTGATCGTCGACGGCCTCAGCCACGTCACCGGCGCCCGCAGCCACGGCTGCCTACACCTCATTGACCTCGCGGGCAGCGAGCGCGTCGGCCGGAGCGAGGCGTCGGGTGCGCCACGGCGGCATGCCGAGTGTGTGCGGTGCATTTCGTTTTCGTTTTCCTGATCACTTGGGCGCAGAGCAGTTCCCCTGTCTCTGCCAGGCGGGGCAGGTGGAGAAGCTGTGAGGAAGCAACCTGGTCGTTGGCAGGAGGGGGGCCCTGACTACGCATGCACTTTCATCAGCAACCAGGGAGATGTTGGAGGTTTCATTGACCGCTGACAATGTGATCAGAGATCAGCGGATGAGGCCACTGCAGCTTCACCGAGCACCACGCAACCTGATCTTGCCCCGCGCCCGCCCCGTGCCTGCCCCACGCCCGCCAGGCGACCGGCTGGTGGAGGCGCAGCACATCAACCGCAGCCTCAGCGCGCTGGGTGACGTCATCGCCGCCCTCGCGTCCCACAGCAGCCACGTGGGTGCACGCGCCGCCCCCACGTGCACGCGCGGATTGGATGTCTTGTGCCCTCCACTACTGACTTACACCACGTCATCTTGTGTTGAGGATAAATTCGCGCCGTTGCCCCACGCTTGATTGAGATGATTCAGTGTGTGGGGGTCAAACCCCCACGGGCCAGTGCAAGTTCCCGCCCTCACGCCGCTCCGCTGCACCACCCCCTGCCCACGAACTTCGCCTCGTCCCGCCGTCCCCCCCCCAGGTCCCGTTCCGCAACAGCAAGCTGACTCAGCTGCTGCAGGACAGCCTCTGCGGCCAGGCCAAGGTCGGGCCCCCAGGCTCTTAGGGCGCGCGGCGCGTTGAACCCGTGTGCTCCCTGCGCAGCTGGGCCTGGCGCGCGTGCGCGGAGGCAGCCCCTCGCCGCCTTTTCACACGCACGCGCTCGCAGGGCGGCTGGGCAGCACGCGCACTTGCGAGACGCGTGCTGGCGGTCCACCGGCAGGCCCGCCTGGACAGGCCGCACTCTCACCTGAAACCAATGCCCCCTTCCCCTCCCCTAAATCCTGAAGACCCTGGTGGACTCTGCCCCGGGTTGCCGCCCCCCACCCCCCACCCCCACAGGTGATGATGTTCATGCACATCAGCCCCGAATCCAGCATGTACGGCGAGAGCGTGTCCACCCTCAGCTTTGCAAAGCGCGTGGCGGAGGTCACCCTGGGCCAGGTGGGCGCGTTGCTGGGGCCCCGGCGGGGTGGAGGCGGAGATGAGATGCCGGGAGTGGCGTGAGGAGCGCAGTGTGTGTGTGTG